ATCCATCCATCGATTCCAGCCCTCTAATTAAAAGGTTCCCAGTCCGTCTCCCTGTGGGACTCCATATTTAATCCAGTCTCGTATGGAGTTCCATCTGTGTCATAAATAGCTTCTTTCTGTCCAGTAAAACTCAGGTTAACGTTGCAAATCTTCACGTATTCCACAGAAATAATTGATTTCTGAATCTACTGTTTGGATTCATCCACATCTCTGCACTGTAAAAACTCCTGAACTTATCTAATTTCCTCCGTCCCTCTGAGTTTCCTGGTCATTTCCATTTTCGTTCTTCTGTCACAGCTTGTGTTTTTTCCCGCTCCTTTGTAACCGACTGCTGCTGCTCTGACGGCGAGAAAAAAACAAAACCTGCTGCAGAAACAAAACAAACCGAGACACGGCAGCGATCTGTCAGCCGAGTGTCATTTCAATCCACAGCGAGTGGCACGGCGACCCGGCGACGCGCCGGCGACAGATTTAATGGGATTCAGCCCCAAAACACATGTTTGATATGAAGAAGAGGCAGAAAAACAGTCATTAGGATTCAGATAATGTCATCAGATGACTCGGTCCGACAGCGATCTCTGCAACATTCTGGTCTCTCAGCGGCTCTCAAGGATTTCTGAAGGTGTTTCCAGGTTCAGTTGGACTTTAGCTGCTTTATTAAATCACTTTTTCTAGGACACGTCAACCAGAAGGAGTCGGTCCGTCTCAAACCAAAGGAGCCGGTGGACTCTGAATACCTAGCTAAAATAGCTAGCTGACTTGCTAGCCTCTGAACATAAAACACCTAGCTAAAATACTAACGAGCTAAAACAGCTAGCTGACTTGCTAGCCTCTGAACATAAAACACCTAGCTAAAATACTAGCGAGCTAAAAGAGCTAGCTGACTTGCTAGCCTCTGATCATAAAACACCTAGCTAAAATACTAGCGAGCTAAAAGAGCTAGCTGACTTGCTAGCCTCTGAACATAAAACACCTAGCTAAAATACTAGCGAGCTAAAAGAGCTAGCTGACTTGCTAGCCTCTGAACATAAAACACCTAGCTAAAATAGTAGCGAGCTAAAATAGCTAGCTGACTTGCTAGCCTCTGAACATAAAACACCTAGCTAAAATACTAGTGAGCTAAAATAGCTAGCTTGCCTTCTCCTGGATGGAAAATGGATAGCCAAAAACGACTAGCTTGCTGCTGGAATAAAATGTCTATCTAGCTAAGATTGTTCAAAGTGCACCCGTCTCTCCTGCAGCAAAGCAAAGCATAATGCTGCCACCACCGTGCTTCACATTGGAGAAGATTTGCATTTAGTTTCTGGTATCAAAATAAAATGATTAAAGCATCAAAGGAAACATTTTATTCTATGTTTGATGTTTTTTTCTCATCGTTCTGCTGAATCCGCCATCGTCTTTAAAATCTTCCTTTCTCCTCTCTGCACAAACCGTCTTCAGAAACAGAAGCAGAGATGTTTATCCTCCTCCTCTCTCCTCGACGTCGCCTTTTATCGAGCTCAGAAAATGGAAGGTCATCTGTATTATGACTGAGTGTGTGTGTGTGTGTGTGAGTGTGTGTGTGTGTGTGTGTGTGAGTGTGTGTGTGTGTGTGTGTGTGTGTGTGTGTGTGTGTGTGTGTGAGTGTGTGTGTGTGTGTGTGTGTGTGTGCTGCTATCGATCGGTTAGAGGTTTGTGCTTCGCCACCTACACCCACAACGTGTCGCCACGCTGTGTGTGTGTTCGCATCGGCGTGTGTGTGGGCATCGATCACTCGGTGCGCTGAAGCAGCCGCCACCATCGCTCAGGACAAAGAGGGTGAAGGAGGAAGGAGACGCCGCCGCATATTTTGGTTTGCTGACGGTCATTGAGCCGCTGCTGCTCAGTCTGAAGACTGGAAGCTTTTAAACGACGGATTTAAATGAAAACAAAGTCTCTTGTGCTCGTATTTTGGTGTTTTTATGCAAATGTTTCAGGTTTCCTGCTGTTTAGTGCAGATAAATCACAGGCTGCTTTAGAAAGGAAGGAGTGACTGGATATTTGTGATACATAAACTACAAACACATCGGGCCGCGCCTCATCGGGCCGGTGCCTCATCGGGCCGCGCCTCATCGGGCCGGTGCCTCATCGGGCCGAGCCTCATCGGGCCGGTGCCTCATCGGGCTGAGCCTCATCGGGCTGAGCCTCATCGGGCTGCGCCTCATCGGGCCGGTGCCTCATCGGGCTGAGCCTCATCGGGCTGAGCCTCATCGGGCTGCGCCTCATCGGGCCGGTGCCTCATCGGGCTGAGCCTCATTGGGCTGCGCCTCATCGGGCTGAGCCTCATTGGGCTGAGCCTCATCGGGCTGAGCCTCATCGGGCTGCACCTCATTGGGCTGTGCCTCATCGGGCTGAGCCTCATTGGGCTGAGCCTCATCGGGCTGCGCCTCATCGGGCTGAGCCTCATCGGGCTGCGCCTCATCGGGCTGAGCCTCATCGGGCTGAGCCTCATCGGGCTGAGCCTCATCGGGCTGAGCCTCATCGGGCTGAGCCTCATTGGGCTGAGCCTCATCGGGCTGCGCCTCATCGGGCTGCGCCTCATCGGGCTGAGCCTCATCGGGCTGAGCCTCATCGGGCTGCGCCTCATCGGGCTGAGCCTCATAGAGCCGCGCTGCATCGCTGGGTTCCCCTCGGATTCGATCATTTCATCCAGTCTGGTCGTGAAGCTGCTTGATATTCGCTCTGTAACACAAAAATCCGTCATAAAAATGCAGCAGGAGCAAAAGCAGAACCTTCCCCTTGTTTTCCTCCAGAGCAGCTGATGATCTCATGGGGTCAAAGGTTGCAGCTTTCACAGTAATAACATCAGAGAACGGCGCAGCGTGACAGAAAAACACCTGGAATTACTGGAAATTACACTGGAGGCTTTTCCACTCTCTGATTGTTCATGCAAGTCACACACACACACACACACACACACACACACACACACACACACACACACACACACACACACACACACACACACACACACACACACACTCAGCCTGTCAGTGCACACAGACTCGCTGTCATTAGCAGCTTTCATCAGGTTCCCTCTGACTCCACAGAGCCTCACAGCAGCGAGGCTCAACACGCGGCGCCCGGGCCTTCAGAGTCCCGTCTGTAGACATCAGTCATAACTGCGATTAGGAATTGATCGGATTGATTTAGTCAAAATAAGTTACTCTCTTAAGGTAATTTCTGTTATTGATTAATCTGATTAATCGTTTCAGCTCTACAAAATACACTGCAAAAATACAAAATGTTGCATTAATAGATAAAATGTCATGAAAAGTAACAATTTTTAGTTTTTGGATATTTTAGTATTTTTCCAAAGTTTGATTCATTTAAATAAGTTTTTCTGAGTTTATGTTTGTCTAACGCTTCAGGTCAGCAGGTGACATTTAAACACCAGAGGAATCAGATCCCTGTGTGTGTGTGTGTGTGTGTGTGTGTGTGTGTGTGTGTGTGTGTGTGTGTGTGTGTGTCTGTGTGTGTGTGTGTGTGTGTGTGTGTGTCTGTGTGTGTGTGTGTGTGTGTGTGTGTGTGTGTGTGTGTGTGTGTGTGTGTGTGTGAGGGCGTGTCTGTGTGTGTGTGTGTGTGTGAGGGCGTGTCTGTGTGTGTGTGTCTGTGTGTGTGTGTGTGTGTGTGTGTGTGTGTGTGTGTGTGTGTGTGTGTGTGTGTGAGGCCGGCCGGCGGTTTTACAGCAGCTGGCTGAAATGAGCCCTGAAATTGAGTTGAGGACGGCGGCGTATCGGCGTCACGCAGAATGAAGCTGCAGGATTTAAATCTGCTTCCTGCTCGTCACATCAGGGCCTTAGATATTTATCAGTGTAAATATTTATCAGTGTAAATATTTATCAGTGTTTCAGTTTTTAAGTGTTTCCAAATGTTTGGCAACGTCTGGAATGGAAACTCAAATGGAGGCTTCAGATTATTTTAGTCATTTCTGTCACTAACTTGTTTGTTTTGGTTGCATTTACCCAGAATGCCTTGCGCTGTCATCACTTCCTGCTTTTGCAAACCTCAGTCTGGGTTTAATGTGAACGCCAAGCGAACCGAAGACGCTCCAAACGCAGGAAGTGGACTACAGTGCAGAGCATTGTGGGTAAACCAAAGCAAACAGGTTAGCTTAGCGCTAGCAGGAGAATCAGATCTGACTGCACTGAGTTTCTGCTTGCTCCATTCGACTCGGTTCGACTCGGTTCGACTCGGTTCGACTCGGTTCGACTCGCTGAGAAGAACCACAGCAGAAATGACCCGGATGCATATTCTGTACCGAGGAAACGTGGATCAGCTGCTGAGGATGGTTTTGTTTGTGTTCAGGCTTCAGGCTCATGTCTGCTGTAACATGTGGGTCTCTCTGTTCCGGCCGTGTTCAGCACCAGAACCAGAACTCCGTGTTCCTCCGGAGCAGCGCTGCAGAATCAATCTAAATGCAGAGCAGCTTTCGGCTGCGGTGTAATTTTCACCACTTATTCAGATTGTTTTCTGGCTCTCCCTCCTTGCTGTCCGACTCCATTATTTATCCGCGCCGTCTGTTTCCAGAGACTGACGCCTTCCCGCTCAGTCGGCTGCAGTTCGCCGTGTTTTTCTGCAGCCGGGTCACCGATCAGGAACAAATCCGCCCTTCACACCCTGAAATCTCATCTGCAGCAGCGGAGAGGGGGCGTGCTGCCGCTGCCTCTCCTCCTTCCTCTCGCTCTTTAGCAGCAAAAACAAATTGTGAAATGTCGGTGTGAATTCGCAGAAGCTTTTATTGACATGTTCTCAGACGGACAAAAGCGTTTAAAGTCTCTGCAGACTGTCTTGACCTCTGACCGCGGGGATAAATTGGATTTTTCTCGGCTTCTCCTGGCGGGAGCAGGACACTGGATGGAGTCACTTTGGTTTAAAGATGTTTTCTCAGATTTCTGTTTCCATCCACTCTGTCTGGAAATGTCGCACATTTAAATCTCCTTAAAGTGCATGGAGATGTGGGGGCGCTCAGCTCGATTTTCCTCTAATTTTTGCACGTCGTGCCCTCCATATAAAGATGGGTTGCTCTTTTAAAGTGCATTCAATAATGCGTTAGGCTATCTGGACGTAGCATTTGGAAGCAGCTTCGCTCCTGAATGCTGAGCATCTCCGGCGGTCGATAGCAGAATCATTACAGGCCTTTCTGAAACCGTCACAAAATGTTTCCTCTCCTGATTTACACTCAGAGACACGACTGCAAATGGATGGACGGCATTTTTAAAGCGGCAGGGTTATGAGTGCTGAAGAAATTCCCATAATTTCTGAAAGCAGCTGCAGCAGCTTGAAGGCCTCATCTCTTCCCTGCCAACATGTTTTTCTGGATCATTTTCTCTAAAATGTTAAAGACAAAACGCAGCTTTGGAAGCTAAAGTAGCTAGCAGCAAAGCTAGCTGACTCGCTATTGGTTGGTGTTTGCAAAGCAGCCAATCCTGGAGCAGCATTCACTTTCTTTGGTGCTGATTGGCTGGAAGGAGACAAGGTAGCTGTTAGCTTCTGTGTTAGCATTAAAACATTTCCACAGTTTAATTTGGATCTATTCGCTGCTTGAAGTGTTAAATTAGTGTTTCTTTGTGTTTTGTGGATTTTAGCCGTTAGCAGGCTAGCATTAATTTAAAGTTTATAAAACGTTTTTAAGGCTTCAGATTTTTAATAATCTCAACAGTTGTATCAAATATTTGGACTTGCTAATCTCTACTGTCAGAGATTAGCAGATATTTAACACAGTTGATCATAATCTGCATTTCATGTTTTTTAATGTTTTATTTTTGGTTTTTGTTTCCATTTCTCTCATTTTCAACCATCTCAGCATCAGTAGAAACTGTTGAGCAACATGTTTCCACTCCAATCCAGACATTTAATCTGAAATCTGATGTGTATGAATTATGTTTCCTGTAAGTAATGAGAGAAGTGTGTAAAATGTTTGATTTGATTCAAGATGAGTCAGCTAACGTTAAACATTTTATCAGGATGAACTGAATTAATATGGTTAAAGGAGAAACAGTCGGATGTTGATTCAGTGAAGCTTTGGCCGTAGTTTAGTCCTGTAGTTTATGTAGTTTAGTTCTGTAGTTTATGTAGTTTAGTCCTGTAGTTTATGTAGTTTAGTCCTGTAGTTTATGTACTTTAGTCCTGTAGTTTATGTAGTTTAGTCCTGTAGTTTATGTACTTTAGTCCTGTAGTTTATGTAGTTTAGTCCTGTAGTTTATGTACTTTAGTCCTGTAGTTTATGTAGTTTAGTCCTGTAGTTTATGTAGTTTAGTCCTGTAGTTTATGTAGTTTAGTCCTGTAGTTTATGTACTTTAGTCCTGTAGTTTATGTAGTTTAGTCCTGTAGTTTATGTAGTTTAGTCCTGTAGTTTATGTAGTTTAGTCCTGTAGTTTATGTACTTTAGTCCTGTAGTTTATGTAGTTTAGTCCTGTAGTTTATGTTGTTTAGTCCTGTAGTTTATGTACTTTAGTCCTGTAGTTTATGTACTTTAGTCCTGTAGTTTATGTAGTGTAGTCCTGTAGTTTATGTAGTTTAGTCCTGTAGTTTATGTAGTTTAGTCCTGTAGTTTATGTACTTTAGTCCTGTAGTTTATGTGTAGTTTAGTTCTGTAGTTTATGTACTTTAGTCCTGTAGTTTATGTTGTTTAGTCCTGTAGTTTATGTAGTTTAGTCCTGTAGTTTATGTACTTTAGTCCTGTAGTTTATGTTGTTTAGTCCTGTAGTTTATGTAGTTTAGTCCTGTAGTTTATGTACTTTAGTCCTGTAGTTTATGTAGTTTAGTCCTGTAGTTTATGTACTTTAGTCCTGTAGTTTATGTACTTTAGTCCTGTAGTTTATGTACTTTAGTCCTGTAGTTTATGTACTTTAGTCCTATAGTTTATGTAGTGTAGTCCTGTAGTTTATGTAGTTTAGTCCTGTAGTTTATGTACTTTAGTCCTGTAGTTTATGTAGTTTAGTCCTGTAGTTTATGTACTTTAGTCCTGTAGTTTATGTAGTGTAGTCCTGTAGTTTATGTAGTTTAGTCCTGTAGTTTATGTACTTTAGTCCTGTAGTTTATGTAGTTTAGTCCTGTAGTTTATGTACTTTAGTCCTGTAGTTTATGTAGTTTAGTCCTGTAGTTTATGTAGTTTAGTCCTGTAGTTTATGTAGTTTAGTCCTGTAGTTTATGTAGTTTAGTCCTGTAGTTTATGTAGTTTAGTTCTGTAGTTTATGTAGTCCTGTAGTTTTCTCCGCCGTAGACGTTCAGGTTTTTCGGATGCCTTTTCTTCTGTGATCTTCTTCACCTCTCTTCTTCCTCCTTCTCTTCCTTCTTGTCTCTTTCACGTCTTTTTCGTTCCTTCTCTGCTCATCTCATCCGTCCTCTTTGCCTTTTCGTTGCTCCGTCTCCCCTTTGCTTGCGTCCCTCTCCTCCTCCCCCTTGTCGTCCTCCGTCCCCCCACCTGGACGAACCGTTAACAGAGACCACACCCACTCAGTTCGGCCCCGCCCTCACACCTCCTCTTCCTCCTTCTGGCTCCCCTTTGACTTACTCCTCCTCCTCTGATCCCCCACCAGTGTCCCCCAGCCCAGGCGTTGCCCCCCTCTGCCCCCCGCGACCTGGTCCCTGTCCTAGTGTCCAGCCGGTTCGTCCGGCTCAGCTGGCGCCCCCCGGAGGAGACCGGAGGAGGCGTGCAGACGTACGGCGTCTACTACTCCCAGGCCGGAGTTGAGAGGTAAGACCAGATTTTGTATTTGCTGTAACTCTGGAGATTTTAGGTGATGTCACAGAATTACGGCAGCCATCTTTGATTTCTACAACCTGCCTCATTTTGGCTCTTTGTGAAATGATCAATAGCATTATCAATGCATTTAATAAGATCAATATGTAGCCTGGAGTCCACACACTCATTAGAAAGTCTTAAATTTGTGCATGTAAAATCAAGGACTTAAAAAGTCTTAAATACCAACAAAAAAAACATGAATTGGTCTTAAATATGTTAATTACTTGTCGTAAATTTTACTGGCAGGACTATTCAATTTTGCATATTTACTGTAACTATTATGCGAAGCGTTAACAAATCTAAAGCTAGCTAGTTGTAAATTAGCTAAAGCTAGCATTAGCAAATCTAAAGCTAGCTAGCTTTTTCATGTCCATTATTGTTCATTTTAAGTTTATGGTCAGTTGGCTGGATGGCGTTCGTCTTTGGCTCATTCTAACTCACACACACAGATTATAAAGGTCTTAATTTCCATCCATAATGGTCTTTAAAAGTCTTAAATTTGAGCGAAAACCTGCAGAAACTCTGTAAGCAGAGAAAACCGTCTCATTTCGAATCAGCAAGCTTTGGTTTTATGGACCAAGTTTTCCTTAAACGTTAGCAACATGAACTTAGTCGCTAACATCGTCTTTAAACTCAGCAGAAATATTAGGAGATGTTCAAATAAGTATGAAACAGGCCACACTTTTCAGATTTCTAATTACTTTTACTCCAGTTGACATTTCTGCTCTAATTCCTGCTGATCTATCAGAATGAAATCATAGAAAACTTTCACCTCTCCAAATGTTTTAGAAACCAGTACAAATCAAAACGAACCCAGAAGTAACTTGTCATCAAGATACAGCAGCTGGTATTGAAGTCAGTAATTAGTTAACGTTGATGAATAAGTTCTACTGATTTCACAAGACATTTTCTCCAAAGTGACTTTAAGGCTCAGAGACGAGAAGCTGTGAAGTTAGTTTGGTCTCATTTCCAGTGTTTCTACATCATCAGAGGATTCTGAGGATCAACTCTCCGTTAGCTCACTCACAAAGCGTTGAAGCAGCGGAGATGACAGATGAAACCTGCGGTTCTGATCCGTCGGGTCGGCTCGAGGCGGAGCGGCAGCCGGTTCCCCCAGGGAGCCGCCGGCCCGCCGAGATCAAACCAGAGGAAGTTGAGCCCTGAAAGGGACGGATAAAGAGATTGTCAGTTCTCCTGATTAACAGAGGAAAACAGGCTGAGGGTTTGTCAGGTCCAATGATTCACAGGACGATGCAACGCAGAACCTCAGAGGAACCGACTGAGGAAGAGGAGAGGAGGAGAGACGGAGGGAGAGAGAGAGATGGAGGGAGAGAGAGATGGAGGGAGGGAGAGATGGAGGGAGAGAGACAGGCAGAGAGAGAGAGAGAGAGAGAGATGGAGGGAGAGAGAGAGGGAGGGAGGGAGAGATGGAGGGAGAGAGACAGGCAGAGAGAGAGATGGAGGGAGGTTGAGGGAGAGAGAGAGGGAGGGAGAGATGGAGGGAGAGAGAGAGAGACAGAGAGAGAGATGAAGAGAGAGGGAGCGATGGAGGATCAGGGGACGAAGATGATTTTCCTGATTGTGGTTCATCAATAAGCTGATTGATCTATGATCTTCTACTCATGTCTGGTTCTGAGATCTGGAGAGTAAAACCAGATAAATGTTTAATAATCTCACTGGAAATTATTACTTTGTTTTTATTTCTTGTTTTTCTGGTCATATTCTAAATATTATGAATTTATTTCATGAATAAATTTCAGTTTCTGATCAGAGGTGAAAATAAAACTTTGTGCTGAATGAAAAATGTAATTTAATCTTTAATCTGAAAGCAGAAGTTTCCAGATTAAAACCTTCATTCTGGTTCTGATGGACGAACCGGGTCAGGATGGGACCTGAGCTTACTTTAACTAGGCCGTTTCTCTGCGCTGCAGGAAATCAGCTGATTGTTTCATCTCTGACCAGGTGAAGGTCCAGAGGCTCTTAATCCCAGGATTAGCTCCAGACTCTGGGGGGGATTAGCGCAGACTACAGCTGATTAACACTCAGATTATCGCACAAAGTCTGGAGCGGTGATTCATGGCGGCGTGTTTTCCCACGCAGGGAGCGGTCAGTGAACGTGTCGGAGCCGGAGTCTCTGGAGCTGACCGTGTCCAACCTGAAGCCCGAGGAGAGCTACAGCTTCAGGGTGGTGGCGTACAGCGAGGCGGGGCCCGGCCGCAGCTCCGCCCCCTGCAGATCGCCACCAAGCCCGACCGTAAGCCGCCTCATGTAGCCTCTACGGAGCTACATCAGGGCCAACCAGATTCCTCACAGCAGTGTTTTGAAATTTGATCCCAAAGTGAATTTGAAACTGAAAAGTGTTTTGACATTTTTTCGTTTTGAAAAAAGTCAAATGTTTCCAACCTGAAACTGAAGCATTTGGGGTTTTTCATCTAACTTTTAGTATGGGGTTAAATTGGGGCCAAATAATTTTCCAACCAAGAAGCAGCTTTAAGCTTTTAAAAAATTTTAAAATTATATCAGCTTTATCTTTTACTTTACATAGTTTTTTTGTTTCAAATGTTTTTCTCTCAACAGAAAATGTAAATTTCTGTCTCAAACTCTTTTTGTATGGGGTTAAATTGGGGTCATAAAATTTTTTCCGGAAATAATTTTGAAACCTGAGAGTAGTTTTGAGATGTTTATTTTGATAGGAGCTAAATGATGTTCTCAAAGTGAGCCAAAGCGCTAAGATAAGCATTAGCTCCTCTGTTAGCTGCTAGCTGTAACGCTAGCTGCTAGCTGCTCACGCTCAGCGTCTCTTCCTGTGGTTGTGTCCCTGCAGTCCAGGTCCCCAGCAGGGTGGAGTCTCTGCGGGCGCTGGCTCTGTCCCCCACCTCCATCCAGGTGAGCTGGGAGCCGCCCAGCCTCCCTAACGGACCCGTCCTGGGCTACCGGCTGCTGTGGACCGAGAGCCCGTCCGGGAAGGAGCAGGTGAGCGCCGGGCGGGGCTCCGGAGCCGTTTGGCGCCGCGCCGCGTTAATCTGTGCTCTGCGTCTCCGTCCAGAGCGTGGAGGTGAGCGGGACTAACTACAAGATGGACGGACTCCACAGGTTCACCGAATACACGGTCCGGGTTCTGGCCATCAACCGCTACGGACCGGGCACCGCCTCCGAGACCGTCACTGTGACGACGCACTCAGACGGTGAGCCGGGAACCTCCATCCGAAACGTCATCAGTCCTAAAAACAGTTTTCGTCTCTTCATGTGGGTCCAGGACGGTTCTGCAGCGCCTCCAGAAATGATGATTCACGTTTTTAAAACCAATTTAATTACAAATTAATGTTCCAGCAGCTTTTCAAACAATCGTTTGATTGAATTTCCACAACAGATTGAAGAACCAGAACATTTTTATATCCCATTTTTTTTGTCATCAGTTTGGAATGAGATTTTTTTTCATTCATTTTCCACAAATATCAACTTCTTCATGCAAAAGTGATTTTTAAACCTAAACGTTTAAACAAATGCTGATTGTTTAAAATGAGAACATATTTCATTTGATATTTCAGTTGATATTCACTGAAAGTGAAATATGATGCAGCATGATGCTGCCACCGCCATGTTTCACCATGAGAATCTCATTTGAGCAGAAAGTTCAACTAATGTTTTCATCTGCAATTGTCTGAGGGTATCAGAGTAAAAGAGCCTGCCGCACTTTTCAGATTTAAAAACTAATTTCCTCCATTTAACATGAGCAGAACTTTGCTTCAGTCCGACCCATAAAATCCCAACAAACACTTTAAAAGTGATGAAACGTGTCAAAGTTTAGGGGCGTCAATACTTTCTGCAGGTCGAAACAAACAGCAGAACGTCGTCGTCGTTTCGACTCTTCAATGTGGGAAACAGAAACTTCAATAAATCTGGAGGATAAAATGTCTCATAGGATTAAAGCGCAAAAGCTCCCAGTGAGGCTGACTGGTCTGTACTGGTCCCAGTTACCAAGTAGGAGCTGAGTAATTGGACCAGGTGCTGGTTAATACCTGGCTCTGTGTGTGTGTGTGTGTGTGTGTGTGTGTGTGTGTGTGTGTGTGTGTGTGTGTGTGTGTGTGTGTGTGTGTGTGTGTGTCTCGTTAGCTCGTCTCAGCCCTCCCTGCTGGCAGGAGTTTCATTAGGGGACTTTGGGGGTCTTTAATTAAGCCAGAGAGGAGCAGAGAGAGAGCGGCTTCATTTTAGCCTGACACGTTAATGGAGTCCATACACACACACACACACACACACACACACACACACACACACACACACACACACACACACACACACACACACACACAGTTCAGCCTGTGTTTGCTGGAGCACACAGAGGAAACAGGATGAAGAAACTTAGAAAATGTTTCAGAAACAAAATTAATCAAAAAAGTAGAAAAATACAAACAAAAAGAGAATAATGTTGATTTATATAGAGCAGTGGTGGCACTGTTAGCTAAAACGTTAGCAAGGCTAGCCCTAAAGCACTATTATAAACAGTAGCTATGCTAATGCTGAACATGGTGTTAAGCACAAGCTAATGCTAAAGCTATTCACACTATATTTAGCAGAATCTGAAGCTAACACTCTGTAGCAACAGAAGCTAATGCTAAAGCTGTTTGCCCCATATTTAGCAGAAGCTAACACCCTGTAGCAACAGAAGCTAATGCCAAAGTGTTGCGCCAACATGGTGTTTAGCGGGAGCTAATGCTGAATCTCTATACCAGTGTTCAGTGGGAACTGATGCTAATGCTCAGCTGTTCTGAGCTGATGTTCGTAGAACCGGGTCGAGACCGGATGCGTTTTCCTACGAAGACTTAAAGTGAAGGATCTGAGGGCCCGGTTCGGTCCATCAGTCAGAACCAGATAGCGGGCCCGTCCGCTCAGAGCCGTCGTTAATAAGCCGTCTGTCTCTGTGCGGTCGGCCCATAAACGCCGTGAGTAATACCCGACACGGAGACGTTTTGTGGACGCGCCATCTGGGCCGCCGTGATAACTGCGACTGGCGGGCTAATTGAATCCTCAATAAAACCCGAAACAGAGGAGCTGAGCAGCTGAACGAGCCGATAAACTACAGATCCTCCATCAGGCCTCTGATTGGACGACTCGCTGAGGCCCGGGCGCCGTCTGTTGATGCGAACATCACATCCTGCTGGACGTTCACATAAATCTGTCCTGCAGTCCACATACAGGCGGGAGCTTCAGTGCTGAAATCAATCCAGTTCAAAAGATATTTTCACTAACAGGCTTCATCATATGGGGCTAAATTTGTGCCCAAAATAAGTTTGAACCTAAAAATAGTTCATAACTTTTTTCAGTTTTGATGCTTTTATTCACTCTTAAATTATTTATCAGTTGTAAAAAGTATTTTGGTTTCAAAATGCTTCTAGTTAATCTTTATTGTATGGGGCTACATTGGGGCCAGAATAATGATGAGCAGAGTGAACCTGCGGCGCCGCCCTGCTGGCTCAGTCTGCTGTTGTGCCCATCTGCTTCCTGTCTCAGCTGAAGCCATCAGGTGTGATTGATGGCAGTAAATAAAACAAACTCCCAGCTGGCTCCTGTGTCTGACCTACGGAGAGCTAACGCTGCCCACAGCCTGGTTCGTTGTCCCAGGCAGAAACATTTTCTGATTTGTGGTTCTGTTTTTATTGCAAATGAAGCAGCACTGAGTCAGTCTGAAACTGTTCACTAATACAGCAGCTGATTGAGTTCATTAAATCTGATTTTATTTGTACAAAATTCTGAATCTGATGTGTGTGTGTGTGTGTGTGTGTGTGTGTGTGTGTGTGTGTGTGTGTGTGTGTGTGTGTGTGTGTGTGTGTGTCTCTGCAGTTCCCAGCGCTCCTCCTCAGAACATCACCCTGGAGGTCGTCCTGTCCCGGGTAAGTCGACGCCTCTGCACTGACCACCATCCACAGCATGATGCTGCCACTGCCGTGCCGAAGAACTTGTTTCAAATTGACCTGAAGATCATTTCTGGTTGTTTGGACCCAGCTGGGCAGCGATCAGAAACCCAGACTGGTTCTGGACTGGATGGAAACCCGGTCCAGAACCAGAACCCGGTCCGGTTTAGAGTCTGGAGCCTGGACCAGATCAGGTCCGACTCGTTTCCCGGGTCTCGTTAGCGTTCAGGAAGCTCATCAATCAGAGCTTCCTCTCCGGTGATCTGACCTTGTTTCTCACTTCCTGCTTCCTGTCTGAGCATTACGTCGCTTCACTCTCTGATTCGCTCTGCAGACGATGACAGCGGGGTCAGAGGTCATCAGGCGGTCTGGGTTTACTTAGCTCGGCAGATGTTTGTAGCATCTGGAGGTCAAAGGTCATGTTTGTTTGGCCGAGAAGCTCATTAGAGGGAGAAACTTGCGGCGTTTAGCTGCAGCTCCGTTAGCAGGAGTCGCCTCTCTAATCGAAGCAGCTGCTCAGGAAATGATGAAAGAACGTTTCTTTGCTGCCCATGAAGAAGAACTCGCCTCGCTCTGCGGAGCCGACCTCGTTTAGGCTGCACCGTTTTCACTCTCCTGTCATGATTGATAGGCCTCAGCGTTCAGCCGCTCCAAATGGCTCCACTGTTTCATCAAACCGGGCCGGCCGGGCGAGCGTCTGATCCCAACCGCTCGCTCTGACCTCTGACCTTTCTGGACATTTCTGAACCTTCCCCAGGAAAGTTTAGAAGGTTTGATCCACTAAGAACATGAACAAACGGCGAACGAACCATCGGTGTGAGGGCGGAGCTTCACAGTTCCCCTGTAAACATGGATCCTCCCGCTAACGCTAACGCTAACTAGCTCCGCTCAGGAAACATGGTGACACTAACCAGTCGTAAAACACCTGGTGCCACGGTTACACCGAAAAGATCAGAAAATGGTTCCAGTTGCACAGAATTCAGACCCAGAAAACTAAAAACAGCAAATTATGGAATATTGAAGTCAGAGTTCCTCATCAATACATCTAAATAATTCAGATTTTTGTATTTCAATGCAAAGAATGAAGAAACGGCTTCAGTCAGGGCTGCACATCCGTGATGTTTATTCTTTGTGATTGGTGTTTGAACTGTAGTAGCAGCGCCCTTTAGCTGATACGCCCTGAGCAAACGCCGCCGCAGCCAACGCAGAGAATCGACCGCTTTTAACGAAACAGGAAACTGAATGCAGCCGGATTTATGGGAGTTACGAGTTTTGAATCGTGTTGTCGCTGCTGATCTGAGCCGCTCAGCCGAATGCGGCCAGAGAGCGCCGAGATGAAGTGATGATCAGAGCAGCAGAGCCACAACGTTGGGTCCGTTTGGGTCGTTTCTCTCTGTTCTTCTTCACTTTAAACCAAACAGAGAATTAAAATCCTCATCTGGAGTGGAGTCAGAAGACCTGTCACTTTCATGCCACAAACGGGTCGCCTCCGACTCGGCGGTGGTTCTGGAGAAGAAAGCGGACCCGGCGGATCAGAACCCGGCGGATCAGAACCCGGCGGATCAGAACCCGGCGGATCAGAACCCGCGGATCAAACCCGGCGGATCAGAACCCGGCGGCCGTTGGACGCCCGACTCTCTGGAGTTTGAAGCCTCCTCAGTGAATCACAGTGAAAAGAAAAGACGCTGCTGAACATTTTGCCGAGATTCTAAAAAAGATCAAAACATTTAAAGAAGATGAAGATGTCTCCAGACTGAAGAAGCTCTGAAGAAAAACGTGAATCAGTGATGAGAAACAAAATGTTCAATTAGTGATAGGAAAATATAACAATAAAGTTTAAATAGTAAGAATACATGATGCACAAAATATATAAAAATATTAATATTACCAGAAAAAAGTCACAATATAAGAGAATCGGCAAAAAAAAAGTTGCAATAATGCGACTTTGATCCTAACGTGCTGTAATGTAAGAAAATGAATCAGACGATAAAGTCAGAATAAAATAAGAATAGAAACAGAATAATGTGGTAATAATATGATAATACTGTCCAAAAATAATAGTTATATGTATGGGTGGGCCTAGCCCCGCCCTCCCCATTCAGCACCTTCAGACTAGCCAGCAGCAATTAGCAAACAGCTGCTGAGCTCATCTCAGAGCGACGCTGGAAAAATGCTGTGAAAGGGTTAATAGAGGAGCCATGTTGGCATGACTTCCTGGAGGCGGGGCTTCAGAACAGCAGGAGCTCTTAAGACACACAGGCCCAATTTCAAAGCATCAAATTCTTTAAAATGATTTCCACATAAGCAGCATTTTACATAAAACTGCCTCTTTATCAGACCTCCATCTCTGACTTCATGACTCTGTAACTTCCAGTCCGCTAGTGGGAGAAGAGTTCGTTTCAGACTGCAGGAAACCAGTGACAGGACTGAGTTAAGCCAGAGGAAGCATCTAAAGCATCTGAACCAGTTACCGTCAGAGCCGATGAAGTGTCGGGTCCTTGGTGCGGCTGCAGAGTCATAAAGTCAGCTGGTTGTGGAGGCAGGTCTAAATCCAACCTGCAGCTGTAATCATTTCTGTCGGCTGGCGTGTTCGCCGAGCCGCTGCGGCTTCCAGCAGATCGCTCTTCAGCTGTCACACAGCCTGCGTCATGCGCTGCAGTTGTGCGTCTGTGTTTGTGTATGTGGGTCCTGCCTGAATCGCTTTCCCTGCAAGTTGATGCTGAGGGAAGAAAACGAAAAAAACTTCCTGCTCTTGTCAAGTTTGTTACTGTCAGACAACTTTTGAGACAATGTGACATTTCCTCAACTTTCCTGGAGTCTGGAGTGCCACTGCGAGGATGTGTGTGTGTGTGTGTGTGTGTGTGTGTGTGTGTGTGTGTGTGTGTGTGTGTGTGTGTGTGTGTGTGTGTGTGTGTGTGTGTGTGTGTGTGTGTGTGTTAACGCTTGGTTGAACATACAGCAGAGGAATATACAACATGTAGGAGATGTGGGGATTTTACCCAGAATTCCCTGGAGAGCTGGGTTTAGGTCGCTGTGGCTGCATCCTGTGGTGAAAGCAGAGCAACCAAACAGGCCTTTAAAGGCCTAGTCAAAGGAAATACGTTTGTACAGATCTCCAGCGTGGAGCACAGCAGGAAGAAGCAGGAAAACAGAGGCGGTGCCTCGGGTTTCATCTCTTAGCAGCCAGTCTGCAGCCGTGACTCGTCTCCTCAGGCGGTTTGCAACAATTCACACCTTTAGACATGAGACCAAAACAACTCCTGACATCGTCTGTGACGGGTTTGGATTGGCAGACACAAAACCACACAAACACTGGAGTGAACAGAGGAAGGACCAGTTCCCTACAGGGAACTTGACAGCCCTAATAGTTACCTCAGCAGGCATATTAGTGACTCATGGCCCATTTGGGAACTTAAAGGTCCTAAAAATGATCCTAATGGCTTTATAAGTAACCCTAAAGGCCCTTTAGGTGACCTTAACTGCCTAATAGTGACTTTAATTACCCTACTTGTGACTTAAACCAAACCTAATAATGATTTCAATACCTTTATAAGTAACCTTAATGGCCCTTCAGTGAACTAATGGCCCTATTAGTGACAGTAACTCCCCTTTTTGACCCTAATGACCCTAATACTGAGACTAACATCCTTATAAGTAGCCTAGGTGACCCTATATGTGACCTATTGTTGATGTTCATGACCCAATGTGTGACCGTATTATTGAGCTTGATGACCATATTGGTGAGCTTAACTCTCCAATATGTTGTCTAAGAAACTGAAAGTGTCAGGTTGATGTTTTCACCGTTTTCTCCACTGCTTCTGTAAACTGAACATAATTACATGCAGTTACTGTGAGCAGTTTGGGAATGGAAACACGTTTTATCAGGGTGAAAACAAACACGCCACACTTTTCAGATTTCTATGCTTTTGCTTCCCCTGCCTGTCGTTCTGTCGGTTTTGACACGTCTAAAGGGTGTGAATATGTTTGTGTGGACCCAGTCTGGCCCCAAACGACGCCCTGGGCTCCGACCGCGCGGCATCGGCAGCCACGGTCTCATGGCAACGGCGGTTTAATGTGGAGCCAGATATTCCAATGTTCATGTGTTCATATGTTCATGTGTTCATATGTTCACACTGTCTGATGTTCATGTGTTCATATGGTCAGACCTGGTGTTGGAGTGATTCTACAAACGTGACTCCATGAATGTCGGCCGGTTCTGGAGCCTCGCTGCTGTTTGCTTTCTGAGCGCGTGCAGAGCTGGTGTTGAATGTTATGTTACTGAGCAAATGGAGACATTCTGGCCTCCCTGTGATTGGTCCTTTTACCCAGAGGGCATTAACACACACACACGCACACACACACACACACACACACACACACACACACACACACACACACACACACACACACACACACACACACACACACACACACACACGACACAGTCCTACAAAGAACCAGGTGGGTAAACAGACCCTGAATTCAATCTGTGATTGTTTGTTCTTGTCCTCTGGGTGGAAGCAGCAATCACATCGACTCTCACAGTGTGTGTGTGTGTGTGTGTGTGTGTGTGTGTGTGTGTGTGTGTGTGTGTGCGTTCTGTTTGCAGCGCCGCATACAAACGTCAGGAGGAACCGGCTGAATTAATTCTAGTCCAAGTTTAAAGTTTTGCTTTTCTTTCAAAGCGTTTTCGTCCATCGATTTCATCGCAAAGAGTCCAGATGGAAAAACAACAGAATCCAAGCTAATTAAGGAGCAGTGGACCCGTTCTGGTCCTGGTTCTGGTCCTGGTGGGGCAGCGGGGCGGTTCTGGTCCTGGTCCTGGTTCTGGTTCTGGTCCTGGTGGGGCAGCGCCACCTTCTTTCTGTTATATCAGAGTTTCAGCAGCAGTCGTTCAGCAGCTCTCTGCATTTTGCTCATGTTCGGAGGGAAAATAAAAAGCGAAACAGGTTCTGGTCCGTTTGAAGGCGGGGAACGAGGCCACGGCTCCGCTTGGCCCTCCTGCGCTCTGGTGTCGCTGCTGCATGAATACTAAACAGCTTCATGTTATTATATGTGGAGATCCAGTCAAGCATTAAGAACAAAACGGTTGTTTTACTCTTGGATTGCTCATCGTCCTCCTGAAGAGCTTCGCTCTGCGTCCTGGGAACACGCCGGGTGTTCAGGACTCAAACGTCACAGAAAGTCAGAACGGCGCGTGTGTGTGTGTGTGTGTGTGTGTGTGTGTGTGTGTGTGTGTGTGTGTGTGTGGGGTGTGTGTGTGTGTGTGTGTGTGTGTGTGTGTGTGTTGTGTGTGTGTGTGTGTGTGTGTGTGTGTGTGTGTGTGTGTGGAGCCCCCCTCACAGAGCAGGAGGCTCAGAACGCAGCCTGGTGGGACGCCAGGCCTGAGAGTAACAGCTGATTGTCCTGCTTTACTAGTTACTTGTTTATTGTTGTTATAATTATTATTACTTATTATTTAATTAAGCATTTTATAAGAATTTTAGAAATAAGAACAAATCAAATAAAGAAGGAAATAACATTATTATAAGGTAATTATCATATTTTTTTAAATGATTACATGAATAAAAAAATAAGTCAATATTTATATTTTTGTTATAACATGATAATTATAAGAACTAAGAATTATATTGTTATAAAGTAATGATGTAAAAAAATAATTTTAACAATTATTTGTTAACATTCTATAATACATATTCATTTTAATACGTTTAATAAATTAACTAAAAACTAGAAAAGTTAATAATTTTATTATTTTTAAATAAACTAAATTACAACTGAAGATTTGTTAAATTAAAAAATTCCAATAAAACAAACAACTGAACATTGTTTTCAAATTAAACAAAAGAATAAAAATAAAAGACTAATTAAACTTAAGAAATAAAATAAGTGTTTAAATGAGTCGTTATCTAAACTTTAAAGGAGCTGCTGTCTATTAACAGTTAAATCTGTTTATTCATCTTAAAACACTTGTTTTTCTGATGTTTATTTTAAACACTGTTTTTGGATGTTTCTTTTGTCTGTTTAAAAATGGAGTTCAGAGCCAGAAAACTTTGCATTAATTATTGTGATTTATGAATGGATGATTGCAGCTTCATCCTGACGGCTTCGTCTCTGCGGCTGTTAATGAGAGTTTTATGGATTTATTGATGTTTCTGCTGGTGAAGCTGAAGCCTGGAGAAACTCTGGGTTCTGCTCAGAGTCCAGGTTTTCTGGCTCCGTCCTTCATGGATGGTTTGCTCCTTGTGTCTTTGTGGGAGTTGTTACAACATGAATTTAACTTCTGTAGCATTTCCATGGAGACCCCGCTGAGAACGATGTGCTGTCAGAGTGGCTAATTGGGTGATGAAGCGCGAGGCTGCAGCAGGAGGAGGCAGTTTGGAGGGATTCTGGCCCGCTTTATTCAGCTCCTCCTAATCAGCTCTGCTCTAATCAGTTAGCAGGATGAGGAGCAGCAGAGGAAACAGGTGCTGCGAAATGTTAATGAATTCCTCCGTGGCTCCGCCACCTGGACCGATACCTGGCCCGATACCTGGACCGATACTTGGTCTGATACCTGGACCGATACTCTGCCCGATACCTGGTCCGATACCTGGACCGATACTCTGACCTATACCTGGTCTGATACCTGGACCGATACCTGGCCCGATACTTGGACCGATACCTGGCCCGATACCTGGACCGATACCTGGACCGATACCTGGACCGATACCTGGCCCGATACCTGGACCGATACCTGGCCGATACCTGGACCGATACCTGGACCGATACCTGGACCGATACCTGGACCGATACCTGGACCGATAACCTGGACCGATACCTGGACCGATACCTGGACCGATACCTGGACCGATACCTGGCCGATACCTGGACCGATACCTGGACCGATACCTGGCCCGATACCTGGACCGATACCTGGCCCGATACCTGGACCGATACCTGGACCGATACCTGGCCCGATACCTGGACCGATACCTGGACCGATACCTGGACCGATACCTGGACCGCCGGCCGGTGCGCCTGGTGGAGGGAAACTCACCGACCACCAGCATGACAGCAGGAATCTGTCAGTCGGGGCTCAAAGCATCCTGGGAGGAAACAGTTGCCATGGAAACGAGCACGCAGGTTTCACTGCATTGTTTATGAATTCATCCGTTCATCCTGAAGGAATTAAATACTGTTGATCAACTTTCTTCAGAGTTTCTGTAGATCCTGTCCAGAAAGGAGCTCCTGCAACAGTCTGTGTTACAACGGTTCAAAACAAGCCTCTGACTGAAGATGTTAGATAATCTGTTTGAGGAATTTTTCATGGTTTTCTTGATCTTTATGAGCTTCACCCTCATCTCCAGAGGTTCGACCCCAGAACAGAACCAGAACAGAACCAGAACAGAACCAGAACCAGCCTGGTTCTCCACACGCTGAATCCGTTAGCTGTGGATTCAGCTCCAGATCAGTAGAAACCAAAAGATATTTGATTACACAAGTCCTTAAATTTTACTGTTGATAGTTTTTATGGACACAGTGTGCGATGATGCATTTACCTGCCTGATGTTTTACAGTGTCCATTGGAGGGTTTGTGCCTTACCAGAGGCATGAGACTCTGAAGACAGTTTATATCTCTACATCTTGATGAAGTTACTCTTTACATAGCCTGGTTCATTCTCCTCAAGCTAGCAGATGAAAGCATGGCTAATTCATGTTTTCCTTTTAGTAAAAGTTTTAAACCTGATCCTGTCTGCAATCTGCAAGCATCAGGTTTCTCTGAGCTTCTTTTCCGTCTCTTGGACTCCTGATGGCTGCAGACTCATCCGTGTTTCTGCAGTTGACAGGAGTTGAACTGGAAGTCTGAAGCTTACAGTGTGAAAGTGGCTGGTGAGAGTCCAGAGCCCTGAGGTACTCCTGTGCTGTTCGACACACAGTCCGTCTATCTGTCAGATTCAGCCTCAGCATGGCGGATGTTCAGACCTCCGTCTGTCTGTCTGCTGGAGAATCTGACTAAGCAAATCCAGCTGAATTGTGTAAAATGTTCAAAATACATTTGCCAGATGGAAACGAACTGAACTGTGGAGCTGCTGGGTCTGAAATACTTCTGGTTCTGTTCCTGATGGGAGGAATATCAGCAAAGTGGCAGAACTGAAACCAACAAACGGTAAATATCAGCAGCAAGGTTGTCATTTTCTGCTCATTTCAGGCTGCTGGGAGTCGAAACAAGAAGCAGCTAAACTTATGACTGAATTAGTTGCTGAGAGAAAACAGAATTACTTTTCTGATTCATTAATGTTCATTGATTAGTGTTCAGCCCAGCGAACACACTCGGGTCGCAGTGAGAGCTGAGCGGTTGATGGCAGCTGCCTCGCAGAGCAGAGCTCACAGGAGGCCGAGCCAACATCTGCTGCATCTGTGTTTGTGTGTGTGGCAGAGGTGGGTTGTTAACATGCAAATAAAGCAATTAAAATTCATTCAACACACAGCCGGCTCACACACAAACACACCGAAACACTTCGCATGCATACAGATGGAAGCGCAGCAGACAATGAATCCAGACGAGCAGCAGAACAGAAGCTGAATGGACGTCTGCTGCACCAGCTCAGATTTACCGTTTGTTTTTACAGTGTCATGAAAACACAGACTGCTCTGGATTCCTGTCATGCCAGTAATCTGAGAGACCGGGATGGATGTTTATAGGAGATGTCAGCAGGTTTTCTGGTGTAATCGAGCGTCCTGCAGGTTGGGTTGTGTTCTTGGCTCCATCCTCCGTGTGCTGGACTGTTGGACCCGTCTGCTGGCGTGACTCTGCATGAATATCAGGTGCTAACTGCCTGGCAATTGGTGCTGATGTGGCAGCAACAGCCAGGAAGTGGAGATTGGACCTGGAGGTTTAGCTAAAACCGTCAGAATCCTGATGGGATCCGTTTCCTTCTCCAGAGTGACAGAAACATCTGAAGCTGCAGGTCTGCTCAAGTCTCTGCTGCCGCTTCGCTTTCCAAATCCACAACGTTCAACATGCCAGACAGCTGGTTACTGCACCGACTGGAAAGGTCTCAGGTTGGTCCAGGTTGGACCAGGTTGGACCAGGTTGGTCCAGGTTGGACCAGGTTGGACCAGTCAACGCAACCAAACTAGTCAAATCGAGCTCAGCTCAACCAACTGACCAGTCCAACCAAACCAGTTGACCAACTAAACTGTCCAAATGAAACGACTGACCAACAAATCCAGGATGATGTGACACGAAACATAAACCGACCAAACCAACCCATCCACTGAACGACCCAACACAACGTACCACTCAAACCAACCAATTAACCAGTTTAACCCAATTAAACTGACCAAACAAAACCCCCTGACTGGCCAGTCAAACCAGTCCGTCCAAATGACTGGGAACCAAACCGACTCAGCCTGTGACTATGGATGTAACAGAATCCATATTTGTACCATAAACATGGAGATCAGCTCCATCGGTCTGTTACCAGATTCAATAATCGCATGGCCTTGTTTCGTATCTGAACCTGCAGAACGATGCTTTCAGTTTCACTCTGAAGTGATTTAAACGGTTTTTATTCCTACAGGTTTCAGAGAACATTAATTCAGACCATTTTCAAATGTTTTATTGTCATCCATCCAGACGCTGCTTCTGATCCTGTATTAGTAATAAAGAAATTCACAGAGGCCACTTTTCCTTTTTCTCTTGATTGAAGTGAAACTAAATCACACTGAAGCTCCTTCTGATCCCTCAAGCCGTAAATGTTTGAATTGACCTGAAAGCTTCGTTTCTTCCTCTGCTCTTTGTTTGGCTAACAGTGCTAATCGTTGTGCTCGGTGCCAACTGTCAGGAAGGAGTTTTATCTCTGTGAATTCATTACCAGAGTGCACCTGCATGGTTAACTTCATCAATAAAACAACAGCAGAGTAGCTGAAGAGCAGTAAACAGACCGTGAAAGATGACAAATTTGTTTTTCTTCTCCGTTTCCCTCAGAGCATCAAGGTGTCATGGCAGCCGCCCCCTCGCGGCGCCCAGAACGGCGTCATCACCGCGTACAGGATCAAATACAGGAAGACTGGCCGCCGTGGAGACCAGGAGGCCATCGAACCCAACAACTTCTGGTACCTGTTCACAGGTGAGTCCTGATCCGTTCAGTCTGAGTGTCTTCAGATGTTTTATGGTTCATCTGTAAATTAAAAGTTTGTTTCATGAATCATTAATGAAGCAGCAGGACTTTAGCGTCGTGTTCAGTCTTCAGAATAAAGAAATCTAGATGTGAAATGCAAACTAAACATATATAGATGTGAAACATTGTTTCTGCTCATGTCTGATTTTCCTCTCCTGCAGTAGAAAAGCTGTATTAGCATCAACATGGCCGCCCGGCGCTTGTGTGTGTGGCTGCATTCAAAGTGCCACCAGCTATTATTTCAATTTGAGCTTTGCCAGATTTGAATGAAACTGATCTCTGTTTTCATTATTTCTTTCATTGATGGTTATCTCCATCTGTCTGTCTGGTCGCCATTCGCTGGAGTTGCAGACTAATCTGTCTGCTGTGAGCTCGGCTGCCTCAGGAAACCTTTATGGAAATTTAATACGCACAACATATAGATATATACTGCAGGATTGAGATGATGAAGTTATTATTTTTACTGTTTATTGTAATCTGTGGGTTTAATCCAATCCCAGTGCAGAGTAAGCATCTTTAGCTGAAGCTTTAGCATCTTCATCATCACATTTATAAACACAATAACGATGCTGTAATGTGAATATTTACCGGTTTATGTGAACAAATGGCTTAACGACTCGACCAAACTGAAGCCTAGAGCAAAATTACTGATCAGATATTTTCAACAAAACACCTGGAGGCAAGAAATGAGAAACAGAAACATTCTCTGTTTCCTAAAATTATATTTTATTTCTATAATCCGAATGATTCAACCAAGCCGAGGAGCCTAATCCTAATCCAACTGACCAATCTGACTGACCAGATTGGTAACTAGTTACCTAAACTCCTCTAAACATCCACCCGCTAGTTAGTTAACAAGCTAAAGTCCATCTGACTGATGAACCCAACTATCCAGACCAACCAACCCATTCAGTCAGACTGACCAAACCAGTCCTCAGTTCAACCATCTAACCGCTTCGGACCTGAACTGAACACGGATCCACTTTGATCCAGAAATGGTTTCCTGTGGATCAGAACACGAATCACTCTGACCACCAGAGTTAAACCACAGACTGGTTAGAAACCAGAATGTTTCAACCAATCCTGGTTTCCTCAGTCACTCCAGCATCGTTGGTTATTCACAGCGGCGCCCTGAAACGTTCAGCGCTGAATGTCCGGTGTAACGACGCGCTCTTTCTCCTCTGTCGGCGTTCAGGTCTGGAGAAGGGCAGTCAGTACAGCTTCCAGGTGGCGGCCATGACGGTGAACGGAACGGGTCCCTCCAGCGACTGGTTCACCGCCCAGACGCCGGAGAACGATTTGGACGGTAATCTGTACAACAACAAGCGTCTTCCTCCTCTTTCCCAACACACATAAATATTTGAGCAGCGGAGAAGCGCGGCGGGTCGATGGAGCGAAGGTTTGGTGTCGGGGGGCCGAGGGGCTGATGGAGAGCTGCTAACTGGAGGGGGAGGGAGAACTGGACACACCAAGGAGAGAAAATATCATTCCAGAACAAGAAACAAAGGCTGCTGGGTTAAACTCACCAGAAATGCATCGCAGAAAATGCTAATATGGTGCAAAACGGGTTTTCTTACAGTATGCATTAATTTTTTATGCTTTTAAAGAATAAAAACTCAAATTTGGCTTTAAGTGTGAAGCTCATTTTCTTTTTTCATAAAGAAGAGAGTAAAGCACATTTTCCAACTGGAGGTCAGGAGGTAGCTGCTTAACGATGAGCATTTAGTTTACAGAGTAAAATATTAATATTCTACATGGAATCAATGAATCACTGCTGTTTTAATCCGTCCTTTTTATTTCTATTACTGCCTTTAATAACCATCCATAGGAGGGAGCTGAGAAAATGCCCAGCCAGACATTTCTTAATAAATAGCAGCTGTTTAAACACTTGTTTAGAAACAATTAGCTGATGCTTCATTTGTGACCTCAGATGAGTGTAGAGACAAACAGCAGCATTAATGATTCCTCTTCATGCTGGAGATCAGGAACACGACGCTCTGCTCAGCAGGAAGCCGCTCAGATAAAACAACAAACACGTCTTTGCTAACTGCGTTTCTCAGAGACGGAAACCTGATTTCAATGGATTATCGCTCAGAGAGGCGATGTGAGGCCCCCCAGGGAGCAGCCAGGCCAGTAATCTGATCTAATCTGAGGCTGAGGGCTAACGCGACGTGTCAGGCCGTGACGCTGACTCTTCTTCTGTGGTTTTGTTCCGGCAGAGAGTCAGGTTCCGGACCAGCCCAGCTCGCTGCACGTCCGGCCGCTGCCCAACAGCATCATCATGTCCTGGACGCCGCCGCTCAGCCCCAACATCCTGGTCCGCGGTTACATCATCGGCTACGGAGTGGGAAGCCCGTACGCCGAGACGGTCCGAGTGGACAGCAAGCAGAGATACTACTCCATCGAGAACCTGGGTAGGTTCTGCTCTGACCCACCGGGTCCAACTCACCTCATCCACACTTTCTGTGTCGAGTGTTGGTTTTGTGATCAGCTTAGCAGTTTAGTATTAGCTTCTGCTAGTTTTTTTATTTGTTTAGCATTAGCTTCTGCCAGTTTTTTATTTGTTTAGCATTAGCTTCTGCCAGTTTTTTTTTGTTTAGCATTAGCTTCTGCTAGTTTTTTTATCTGTTTAGCATTAGCTTCTGCTAGTTTTTTTTTTATCTGTTTAGCATTAGCTTCTGCTAGTTTTTTATTTGTTTAGCATTAGCTTCTGCCAGTTTTTTATTTGTTTAGCATTAGCTTCTGCCAGTTTTTTATTTGTTTAGCATTAGCTTCTGCTAGTTTTTTATTTGTTTAGCATTAGCTTCTGCTAGTTTTTTTATCTGTTTAGCATTAGCTTCTGCTAGTTTTTTTTATCTGTTTAGCATTAGCTTCTGCTAGTTTTTTATTTGTTTAGCATTAGCTTCTGCCAGTTTTTTATTTGTTTAGCATTAGCTTCTGCCAGTTTTTTTATTTGTTTAGCATTAGCTTCTGCTAGTTTTTTATTTGTTTAGCATTAGCTTCTGCTAGTTTTTTATTTGTTTAGCATTAGCTTCTGCCAGTTTTTTATTTGTTTAGCATTAGCTTCTGCTAGTTTTTTATTTGTTTAGCATTAGCTTCTGCTAGTTTTTTTATCTGTTTAGCATTAGCTTCTGCTAGTTTTTTTATCTGTTTAGCATTAGCTTCTGCTAGTTTTTTTATTTGTTTAGCATTAGCTTCTGCCAGTTTTTTTTATCTGTTTAGCATTAGCTTCTGCTAGTTTTTATTTGTTTAGCATTAGCTTCTGCCAGTTTTTAATGAATTTAGCTTTAGCTTCCACTGACAGTGTAGCATTATAGTGTCTCTTGATTTGATGTATTTTCTGTTATTTTCTTTGTGTTTATTGTTACGTTGCACTAATAATTTTGCGTGCTTAGCATTAGCAGACCTAAGATTCTTGTTTAGCAAATCAGTGGTTAGTGAAGCTAACTGTTTGGTCAGTGAAGCTAACTGTTTGGTTAGTGAAGCTAACTGTTTGGTCAGTGAAGCTAACTGTTTGGTTAGCTCCGTCCACCAATGACCGTAGCTATTGCTGATTTTAAAGCCAACATAAACTCCATTATAACCTTGGTGGCCGTTTTGAAAATGTCCACTAGAACAAGGTCCGGAAGACAAGGTCTGTTGTTTAACAAACGTCATGATTCGACACCAAACACACATGGATTCAGTTACAAAAAATACATTTTCCATGACAACCCTGGTAGCCATATTGAAAAATCGGAAATTAATAGGAAATGTGATTATGTCCTATTTTTTAAAAAATATTTTTTCATTTTAAAGTTTCTCCATTATCTGACAGCATAGAAGTCACTTCTACATTTGTTTGTGCTGTCTTGGTCTCTTCTGATTGGATTCCAGCAGTTTTGCTTGACGTTAATCAGAGACATTCAGGGTGAAAGTCTCTGCTGAGAACAGCTGCTGCGTCGTGTTGCAGCCAAAAACTTCAAGGAGGTTTTTAACCTTCTGAAGCAACAGATTCCCTCTAAAATGACCTTTTGGGAAGCTGAACCGTTTGGGTCACAGTGAGAGGCTGGGATCAGCGAGAGCGTCCTGCTGTGATGTGAAGATGTTCTCTGCCTGTTTGGTGCCAGCAGTGAGCGTTGGACACGGATAAGACACGCATAAGACACGCGGTCCTCAGAGGGGGACGCACCTGTAAACCCGCCGCTCCTCATGAATTATCATCCTCCGGCTGCCATACGCTCATCTCTCATAAATCCTGCTGCCAATATTGACACAGCGCTTCCATTAATTCATTACCATGATGAAACCCCTCATTTAATTACAATCAATAATTTAAGGCAATTTAATAAGAAAGCTGTTTGGAGTGGAAATCTAATTGTGAAGCGCCTGCGAAGGGGGACGTCCTCCCCTGTGAGAGCAGAGCGCCGAGCGATTTGCATGCCAGAGGAGACCAGAACAAATTGGACCCGTCTTTATGCGGCGCTGGATGTTTCCCTCTCAGGTCTCATAATGGAGGCGTAATGAAAAACTCACATCCAGCTGCTGTGGCGCCGCATTCATAATTCATGCCTGGTGTTAATTCATGCGGCGAAGCGTCTGGGCGGCGGTTTGGTGACACGGAGGGAACATGGCGGAACGGCGGGTCAGGTCAGGACCAGAACCCTGCTGGGGAATGAGAGGGAAACAACCGATTCTGCTCACGTCAGCCGTGACCTTTCACCTCTCCTCTGTTTATATGAACGGGACCATATATTGGCGGCCATCTTGGAGTGCTGATGTTGTTAGAAACTCACCTGATGCTGTCTCTCCCTCAGAGCCGAGTTCTCACTACGTCATCTCACTGAAGGCCTTCAACAACGCCGGGGAGGGAGTTCCTCTGTACGAGAGCGCCGTGACCAGATCACTGACAGGTAGGGGAGGGAGGGAGAGAGAGGGAGAGAGAGAGAAAGAGGGAGGGAGAGAGGGAGGGAGGAAGGGAGGGAGCGAGGGAGGGAGACAGGGAGGGAGAGAGGGAGAGAGGGATGGAGGGAGAGAGGGAGGGAGGGAGGGGAGAGGGAGAGAGGGATGGGGAGAGAGGGAGGGAGGGAGGGAGGGAGGGAGAGAGGGAGCGAGGGAGGGAGAGGGAGAGGAGGGAGGGAGAGGGAGGGAGAGAGGGAGAAGAGGGAGACAGACAGGGAGGGGGGAGGGAGGAGAGAGAAGGGAGGGAGAGGGAGAGGGAGAGGAGGGAGAGAGAGGGAAGGAAGGGAGGGAGAGAGAGAGGGAGGGAGGGAGGGAGAGGAGAGAGGGAGGGAGGGAGAGAGGGAGAGGGAGGGAGGGACGGAGGGAGAGGGAGGGAGGGAGAGAGGGAGGGAGGGAGAGAGGGAGAGAGGGAGGGAGGGAGAGGAGGGAGGGATGCAGGGAGGGAAGGAAGGGAGGGAGGGAGGGAGGGAGAGAGAAAGGGAGGGAGGGATGCAGGGAGGGAAGGAAGGGAGGAGGGAGGGAGGGAGAGAGGAGGGAGGCAGGGAGGGAGGGGAGAGGGAGGGAGGGAGGGATGCAGGGAGGGAGGGAGGAGGGAGGGAGGGAGAGAGGAGGGATGCAGGGAGGGAGGGAGGGAGGGAGGAGAGAGGGAGAGGAGGGAGAGAGGAGGGAGGGAGGGAGGGAGGGAGGGAGGGAGGGAGGGAGGGAGGAGGGAGGGAGGGAGGAAGAGATAGATGGATGGATGAACTAACCTCTGGCATCCTGGTCAATTTGATCATTCAGTCATGTGACAATAACTCAGTGCTTCTCAAATAGTGGGGCGGGCCCCCTTTGGGGGGCGCGGTGCGATACCTGGGGGGGCGCGTGTGATCCTGGGGAACAGGCTTTTTTTTGGCCATACTAGTAGAAAGTGTAATTGCGCACAGTAGGCGGCAGTGGCGCTCTCATTGTTACTTCTGTCACGTTTGCGACAGTGCAACATTTTACGACTTACAAGACAACAGGTTTGCCTTGGTTAGCAGTGTTAAGTCAACAAAAAGCTCCGACTGCGTTCTGTCTATGGCCCCGTTATTCAACAACCCCCAACATGAAAAAGTTTTTCACAGGGATGAAAAGAAAAGCGGAGAGAGACAAAGATAATGAGACAACAGAAAGTCAACCGAAAGCTAAGAAGAGGAAATACGACGAAGCGTATTTAGCTTGGCTTCACTGTGACTACAGT